AATCTTAAAAAAAAAAAAAAAAACTCTGAGAACATACAACTTGATGTTGTTCTTTATCTTTGTTTTCAAACAAAACAAAGGGAGCACGACTTGGGACAAAAAGAAGGGATCTGAATTCCAACTGCCCTTCAATTGAAAAATGCTTCACTTCTAAGTGATCCTGCCACTCATCAGTCAAGCTCTTATAAAATTATCCATATTCTCCATTAATAATATCATCAGGATTTCTGGTCCAAATAGTCTTTGTCTTGTTCAGTTCTTGACCAATGTACTTCTCCTTGATCTTTTTCTTTTCTTATCACCAACCTTCCTTTCTTTCTCTACCTCATCAGAACCAACATATATTTCAGGTCTGTCATTAGACTCCTTTTCTTTTTTTCCTCTTTCTTTTCTTTTTTTTTTTTAAGATTTTATTCATTTATTTAAGAGAGAGAGAGTATGAGCAAGGGGAAGGACAGAGGCAGAGAAAGAAGCAGACTCCCCACTGAGCAGAGAGCCTGACACGGGACTCCATCCCAGGACCCTGGGATCATGACCTTTGCCGAAAGCAGACGCTTAAACAAATGAGCCACCCAGGCACCCCCTCTTCCTTTTCTTCAGCTTCATCATCATTGACTTCTTTATCACATTCCTTCTCCACAAAAAGAGTAATATATAGCCAGTAAACTGGGAGTGTTTCTTCACAATCATCTTTACTCTTCTTTCTTCCAAGTACTCAGTTCAGTCTTCCTTCAGATGCAGGATAACCTCTGTTCCAGGACCCACGAGTTGACCTGTATCAGTCCTAACTGTGAACGATCCTCCTGCAGAAGACTCCCAGGCATACTGTTCATCATTATTACGTTTGGTGATCATGGTCACTTTCTCAGCAATCAAACAGGCACCAAACTGGCCAATTACAGAAATATGCACCAGCCTGCAAAGTTTCCAAGAACACTTTGGTTCCAGACCTGGCAATAGTACCAAGGTTACCCACCATAGCGAGGGTTAGATCTTGGCTGTTTGGAACAGAATCTAACTTACTGGGATCTGTCAAGCTTTCATACCTGATTTTGTTCAAAACATCTGATAAATCTGAAATAAGCTTCCTCAGAAAGATCTCTTTATTCAAGTAGAAAGAGCTGATGACCAGGGACATCAACTGAGTGATTCCCACCTGAAAGGTGAATGTCTCAACCACCTTCTCCTTCATCAGCTGGTCTTGGGTCTGGGTTTCCTCAGGTATCTCAGCTAAGGGACCACACAGGCTTCGTGATGACACAGCACTGGGACACAGAAGCCACTCAGCATTTCTTTTTAAATACTCCAGCAAGGTGGGAAAAAGTATTGAAGGAGTAGCACATAGCTGCAATAAGATTGGCCAAGTGCTGATAACTTACTGAAGTTGAGTACTGGGTACAAAGAATGTTCTCTGTATCATTATTTCTATTTTTGTGTATATTTAAAGTTCTTCATAATAAAAATTAGGGAAAATGGCAAATTTAAGATTTGCCTGTCTTGCTGCAGGATTCTAGCTATGTATCAAATTTTTGTTAAGAATCCTTTTAAAAAGCATTGATGGTAGGTTCCTCAGGTACTGCAGAATTACTAGTGATCAATTTGAAATCATTAGACAGAAGTTTTTTTTTTTTTTTTACTCTTACACCAGCACTGCAAATAAAACTGTATTTATTAAAAAGACAAAAAAGAGGGGTGTGGTGAGATACAGCTCAAGAGTTCATTAAAATGGAGAAGTGAAGATAGCCAGGATATCACCCTAAAACATTTACTGAAGATGGGAGAGAAGAAAGATAAAAAAGAATCTAACAGCCTAGGGAGGCAATTACCCCTTTGCTCCAAGTTTCAAAGCAAATGAACTGAAAGACAAAGGTCTGAAGACAGTATAGTCCAAATGGAGACAAGGAGGAAACACAAATAAATGGTTATATGGAGATGTATGTTAATAAAAAGAAAAGCTTATTAAGTTTTGTGTTTCTATGTACTAGGAATACTCTAGAGAATAATAACTAAGTGTAGAAGTACTACCTAACAGGCCTACAGACAGATGATTTAGTTTTTTTTTTTTTTTTTCTTTTAAATTTCATGTAAATTCAAGTCAGTTAACATATAGTGCAGTGTTAGTTTCGGGGTAGAATTTAGTGATTCATCAGTTGCATTTAACACCCAGTGCTCATTCCATCATGTGTCCTCCTTAATGCCCATCACCCAGTTACTCCATCCCCCCACCTCCCCTCCAGCAACCTTCAGTTTATTCCCTATATTTAAGAGTCTCTAATGGTTTGCTTCCTTCAGCAGTGACTAACACATTCAAACACATTTGTAAAAACCAAGTATGATTCAGGAGTCAAACTTGATTCAATAGAGAATAGTAAGATACATCCAGAGTGGTTCTGAGAGTTGTGAAAAGAGAGTAATCTGGGTAGCACCATAGGGGAGGTCATTTAGAAGAAAAGATGAGGTAAAATGCTAAAGCCCTCACACTTTTCAGAGCCGATGAGAAAGGATCATCCTAGTAATCAGATTTATGCATGAGCTGAGGAAATCTAAGTTTAGCAAGTACAGGAAAGACTGAGAGAAAACTAAGAACTCAGGGTATTCAGGAAAAAACACTGTGAGAGTTTTGAAAAGGGGAACTGATTTATTACAAAGAACAAAACTTAGGGTTCTGGCTAAATTCACCATAGAATATTTTTTTTATCTTGTCAAGAAACAAATCCTGATATCACCTATCAAAAACATCAATTTAAAGATTTATTTGAGAGAGAGCGAGCAAGCTTGCATGCACAGCGGGAGGGACAGAGAAAGAGGGAGAGAGATGACCCTTAGGTCACAACCTGAGCGGAAACCAAGAGTGTGATACTTAACCAACTGCACCACCCAGGCGCCCCTGTATATTAGTTCAAAACCAACCAATCCTTTAAAGGGTTAACCTCTGGTTATATATCTTCTCCTTACACACTTAGCCTTTTTATTGGGGCCAGTGAGTAAGAAGTCATTATACAAAAGGAGGCAAACCTAAGTCAACCCCATAAAATGTTCTCAAAAAGGCCTAGATTCTAAAGCACCCTTAATCAAAATAAATTGTAAGGCATTAAATATACAGAAGGTATAAGTTAGGAAGTCAACAAAAGAGTCAAGGGCTGCCTCACTGAAATACAGAGCTTGGAATTAAAATTAAAACTTCAAAAAAAAAAAAAAAAGGCAAGAAGAAGAAGAAATACAGACCAGAAGATAAAAATCTGTTTGTTTTTGGAATGTGAAGAGCTGTGAGGACTAGGATGTAGTTATAAGCAGGTAGGAGAAACATTTTAGTTAATAGTATGGAAGATAGAAAGAAACACTTAGCATCCTAAGGTTTCCAATTCATCCATTAAAAGGTACTAAAGTTATCTTCAACCTTTATCCCATAGAATCCCGGGTAAATCGTGGCCAAAACAGGCAAGAGAACCTATGGAAAGGGCTATGGAGCTGTATTCTGCCTCACCTGGAACACCTCCTCAGGGCCAAGTAGGAGAAAAGTGAAGTGGCATGCTCTAGGCCACTGATGCTGACACATCCTTTTTAGGATCATCGTCTGAGAGTCAAACTAATCCCCTAGGATCTGTGCAAACCAGGAACTGGTAGCTATAGCTGCACCTATTTGTGGCCTCTGTGTCACTGAGCTGAGAACAGCTCCAAAGAAATAGGGAGTAAGGAGAAAGGCTAAAAAAAAAAAAAAAAAAAAAAAAAGAGAGAGAGAGAGAGAGAGAGCGCCATCTTTTCCCCTATTCTTCCTTTTCCAGTTACATTTTTTCTAGTAGTGACAATAGGTTTTGATCTATCCATTGCCTTCCTAATTTCCCATGTTTTGGGAAACCTAAGTTTGGGCTAAAAATAACTATTAAACAGATCTAGCATTTTATTAGCATCAGGCTCTAAACAAATGAGCCAACTGGTAGAAACACCTGGGTAATGAGAAAGCTTAGGCAAAGGACAATGATTAAAAGAACAGACATTGCCAGAATACATAATACACATTTCACCAACTTAATACAAACCAGTTTACTAGAATTCCAAACACCAGGAATTCACAAGGAGAGTACAATCACCCTGGAGACTACACAGGGTCCTAGGTCCTAGGCTACAAAGCATTTTGGGCTTGCTACTTCTACCAACTACAGTTATTTCTACTAATTCCAGCAACTTCTTTTGCTCTATATTAGTATTGAATTTTCTTTAGATACTAATGAATGTCCTATAACAATATCAAACGTTCAAGAACAAGATCATTTAATGTGCTAATCACCCATTTAATTTTGATTCAGATACAACATTTAAAAATAAGTAATATCAGATTATATCATTAACCTGAAAAAACAAAGACGAATACAAACTAGCAATGCATTCAGGGTTTTACATCACTGGGTTAAAGTCAGAAAAAAAAGTTATTTATCCTTGTAGTAAAAAACAGGAACCCAAGTAGTAAAACAGGTCTCAAAAATGACAACAGGGCCAGAAAAAGTTACTCTATGAAACTGAAGTTAAAGAAATCACATAACAAATACTATTATTTTTAATCCACCCTGCAGTGTGATTTGAAGGTTTCCTTAACGTGATTAAAGCATATTTACCTCCAACAACACAGGCAAAAACAACTCAGAGGTATTCATGTTTAGTGGTTTAAAAAAAAAAAAAAAGGTAAATTTTTACCATTTGCCTTACAAAAACACTTTCTAAGGCAGAATGTTTCAGCTAATTCACTCTCTCATCCTTATTCACTATGAAAAGGAATTCCAAAAAAAAAAAAAAAAAAAAAGAAAAGGAATTCCCACAGTCCAATTAGCCTAAGCATTTAATATTTCTACTACTACTAGCTAGTGATAAAATTTCAAAGAGAAAAATACTAAGCATTGTTTATACTGAGCTGACACCTGATTATCCAGTTAATAGAGGATGCAAAGACGTTCAGAAAGATAAAAATAAATCATAAACTGTTTGGTATATCATACAAAGCAGCTTACCTTGTAGTTTTTTCAAAACAGCCACCTCCATTTTCAGAACTTGTTTTGGTTGTTGAGCTGATTCTACCTTCAGTGCAACATTTTCCCTGGTAAGCATGTCCAAGGCATCGTAAATTTCTCCAAAGCCCCCACCCCCAATCTTCCTCAACTGCACAGGAAATAAGAACATACACACATACAATTACTAGAACATTCTAATTGGAAATCAACTCATCTCTTATATTGAAAAAAATAATATATAATTTTACTATCCCTATTTGAGGACAAAAGATCTCAATATTGTTAAATTAATTATATATATGTCAAGAAGAAAACAAATGCCTAGAAATAGCATCAAAACCTTTTCTCACAGTTTTGCCCACAAAAGATAACGAAATTATCTTAGCCACAACTTTAAAATTTAGTCTACAGCCAGCATTTAAAATGTCACAAAAAAGCATCGGATCTCAAAGTTTCACTTCCCACAAATGCCCCTCAACAACCAGATATGTTCTTTTAATTCTAAGGCAATCATTTGAAGACTTTTTAAACCATGAAATCTTTTTGCCAACTGAAAGCTTATCTGGAACCCAGCTGAGATGTGTGTGTGGGGAGGTGGGAGTGGGGCAACCAGAGCCCAGCCCTCTCTGCACCATTTACCCTCCTCTCTGAGGGACCGAGCTGGCTCCAAAGAAGAGACAAACTCCTGTCCAGAATATGCTATATAACTATATGCCCAAATAATATGCTCAAATACTAAACCTTAATCAAATAAAACACTTTCAACCAACACTTAATATCCTTCCTGATAAAATGTGTTTGTTTAACTGGGGGAATACCAGGATCTCTAGTATCATAGTATCATAGGCAAGTTCTCAGGTGTCAGAGACAACTTAGCCCGTAGAGCTACAACCACCATGGTGGGTAACATATTTCATGCTAGATACAGCATGGAATTAGCCTTCTTCCATTTCCTGAAGGTCCTCTCCCTTCCACATTATCAAACATCTAGGATGTGATATAATGCCAGAAGTCATCACTAGAGGCACACAGTCCTAAATTCTAAATACCCCAGAGGACTCACTTGAAGTTCTACTTCTTTCAGCACTGGGTCCGTACTGATTACTACCCCCAGGCTGATTTTTCTATCTTCTGAATTTCTACAGTTATTTGCTTAATCATTTAATTACTCATTTTACTAGGCTAAACACCTCAGATATCACTTATATTAATACACTGGACAGTTTTTTAACTTTCCACTGTCAATGTCCTAGCCCCCTACAGTGAAACCAAGCTTCTTCAGAGAGAGTCACTCTTTTCAATTTTTTTGTTTTCCCTATAGCGAGTGGCTAAGTGGTAACTACATAATTACTGCTAAACAACTATTCAATGCTTTGTATATAAGAGACATAATCCTTTATTCCAGTGGGTGATGGGAAAAGATACCATGAGGAGCTACAGTATGAACTCAGGATTAAAATAAAGTTCCAGAACTTCATTTCAGTTAAAAAGTTTTTTGTTGGGCCCTGAGCAATACTTACAATTCTTAACATTTGCCCATTAAACAAAGCCTAGTGTAACTTTAAAAACTCATAAACAGTACAAAAGGGACACCTCTCTAATTACAGACTGTACTGAGAGGTAGCTTTATGTTTCACTTTACAAAAAGAACTTACCAAATAACAGAACAAAAAAGCTACACCAAAGTAATGATTTTGCACCCTATGTCACTTCAATGATAGTGGAACATCAATATTTTTTTTACCGAGCTCGACAAAGCACTAAGACATCATTAATGCTTATAAGGCAAAAAGCTAGAGACAGCTTAGTATTGGGGGGGGGGGGGTAGACAGATTAGGGAAAGTATAGAGGTAAGTGGCAGACTTTCTTTACCAAAGACGATATCAACAATATCAACAAAACCTTTGCTCTTCTTTAGTGTGACCCTGCCATTCACCCATCAAGAAGCAGAGTCCATTCCCCAACCTCTTAACTCTGGGTAAATCTTGTGATTGCTTTGACCAGCAGACCACTAGCCCTGAGAATAGTCCTTAACAGCCTTGTCGCTTCTGTTTCCTGTCACTCAAAAGCCAGCTACTATGTAAAAAGTCTGACCATCCTGAGAAGACACAGACCTGTAGAGAGATCCTAGAAAATAAGCTACTAGAGATGAAGGGGGGTGGGTAAGAGAACGAAGGACCTCCAAGTCACCAAACAAGCCATTTGGGAATGGATCCCCTAATCCACACAATCCTGCAAGTACCACATGGTTAAGAGACAAACCACCAAGCAAACTCTTCGCAAATTCCTAATCCACAAAATTGTAAGCAAATTAAAAATTGTTTTAAACCTTTAAGTTTTGAGGTAGTTTGTTCATAATGATAGATAACCAAAACACCATCCCTAAAAATGGGCCTATGATTTCTTACTAAAATGCCACTATACTTCCCAATATATGCATGTTCCATACATATATTAACTCTAATTATCAGGACACAGCAACTATGCCAAGCGTAGCTGCATTTGTCACCTTTTGATATGTCTACTGGAAAAAGCCAAACTTGATCACAGCACTTAATACAAAATACTCACCAAAGCAACACTCATTCCTGACTTATATAAAAGACTACTAACTGTTGGAATTTCCTTACATCAATCCATGATGACAACATGGTTCTTTTCTTATATTTACTCAAGTAAATTTTCAAAGCCTACTGAACTGCCTAACTGGCAAAACACTGTAACCCAGATACAATATTTGTAATTCTAAAGGACCAATCTTCTTTTTCTAATCTGTGATAGAGTAAGGAAACCACTAAAATAACTTTGCTAAACCTGCTAGTGGAACAAAACTTTAATAAAAGATGGTAGCGATAAAATATATACTTAAATACATCTAAAACAAAAATTGTGTCTTTAAGAGCAGGAAAGATGATAGATTCCAGGTCTAGGACAAGGAAGACTTCAAAAGACTTATTATTAGGATTAATTATTAGTTGAAAAGACTCAAGAGACAACATGAATGGTGTCCCCTAGTCAAGTGAGAAAATTTGGGGATCAATACGGATAATATCTACAACTGACTGAAACACTTAAAATATGTTTAAATCCATGAATTCTTAATTGTATATTTTTTAAAATCTCATTTTTGGAATCATCATCTTTTGGAAAATGATATGGCAGCAATTCATTATTCTGAAAACTGGTAAATTAAGAAATTATGTACTTATTGCTTTCCTAATCAAAATGTATCTCAGGGTAATCAAATAGCTGGTGATAGGAAGTTTCTCTTTGTAGACATACTTCAACTAAAAATATGAAGGCATGACAGAATGTCACAATCTGCGATTAATAGACTTAAAAATGATGATCAATAGTGCTAAAATGATAATGAGCTATAGGACAAACAATGTCTTAATGGGTAATAAGACATTCTGTGCCTCCTATTGACAGTTCACAATACCCTTTATGAAAAAAATGCCACCTAAATAAACAACCCTGAACTCAGATCTAATTGAGTCTCAATAGCAGTATGCATAAAACACAAGACAGTAAAACATGTTAATACCACATGGAAGAAATCAGAGAAATCAAAACTATGGGAAATTCTACAGGCAAATGATCTACTTTCTTCAATTTAAAAAAAAAAAGGAAAAAAAAAAGATGAAAAGAGATCTAGAAATTAAAAGAAACTTAAGTGATGTCAACCAACTGCAACACCCAGGCTTTATATGAATATGATTTAAACCATTAAAAATAATTTACAATGGGGAAATGTGAAAGTTAAAAGGATACTTAATATTAAAAAATTCTTTTTCTTAGGTGTGGTAGTATTATGATTACATTTTTAAAAGAATTTTTATCCTTTGGAGATACATAACTCAAGGATGTACAGAAGACATGCTAAGGTAAAAGATTTACTTCAAAATATTCTGGGTGGGAGGTTAAAGAGAAAACAAGACTGACTACAGAATGATAACTATTTAAGCTGGGGCATGAGTACACACTAAGGTTAATTAAATCAGTCTTGTTATTTTTACATATGCTTATAATTTTCCTTAATAAAAGGTTCAAACGTTTTTAAAAAGAGAAGTTCATTGTATGGTATTTTTGTTGGTGGTGGTTTGTCTTTCCTAAGTACACTTTGATTTACCTTACTCAACATTAGCTATCAGAGATTAGGAACATTTACTACTATATAAAGCAAGAATTATGGTATAAACAGGATTTAATCATAGGAAGATAACTGAAAATATGCTTTAGGTATATAAGCAATATATTTATTATTTTCTATGGAAATGTTACTTTTATCAAGATACCAAAAATTATCCCCTGATATGTTCTCTCTCCAAGATGTGTACCCACCACTTTCCATCTTTCTTTGACCAGGATTCCAACACTGAGAATATCCGGTTGCTCTCCCCCTCCACTCATTGCAATTCACTGATGTGATAAAACGGCTACACAGGCATCCAGCTCCCAAGGATGGTTTCCATTTAACCTAAAACAAAGCAAAACAAAAAAACAGCAGCAGCATATCAGGGCTCATTAAATAACAAACATTCCAGGGCCAAGTAGCACTACTAATTCTATACATTAATTAGGTTATTTTGTTGGAAAGGGGGTAAAAACCCCACAAAAATCAGTTTCAAAATCTGTTTAGTGCAAAAAAAAAAAAAAAAGTACTTATCTTTCCATTACAGATGCCCATGAAATAGGTAGACACTACAAAGACATTATGATACAACACAGACATAATTTCAAGCACTAAGATTGCTAGACTGTAGAGCAAGCATGGTGTCAACGGCAACTGACCAAGACAGACCACTGTCTTAACTAAAACAAATTGCTAAAGAAAAGGACATGGTACCTAACTTACTTACAACAGCTTATCTAGTTTAATAGGTTGCAACTTAGAGCTTACATCATCCAGAGCTAATAAAATTTTAATATTACATATTGTACATAATGCATTCAAAGTGCACAGAAAATAAACACGAGCCACAGAAAAGGGCACTTGATCAATTCCAATAAAATGATACTTTAAGAGGATAGTAATATGTATAGCATACCTATAGAAAATGAAAATACAGGGACGCCTGGGTGGCTCAGTTGGTTAAGCAGCTGCCTTCGGCTCAGGTCATGATCCAGAGTCCTGGGATCGAGTCCCACATGGGGCTCCTTGCTCAGCAGGGAGACTGCTTCTCCCTCTGCCTCTGCCTGCCACTCTATCTGCCTGTGCTCACTCTCGCGCTCTCTCTCTCTCTCTCTGACAAATAAATAAAATCTTTAAAAAGAAAATGAAAATACAGCAGAAAAAGCTGGTCTAAAGGAGATGAAAACTGTAACTTTACGTTACAGAACAAACTAAAGAAACGTTTTCTAAAAAGCTTTAAAACAACACAAATCGTAACTAGAAAAGCCTTTAAATGAGAAAGCTAGATAACAGGAAGACTTCAAAAGAAATCTGAGCTAACTCAGAAAAGGACCAGAAATGAAGACTCAACTAGAAGAGACATAAGAGAAGACACCATATAAATAAGGGAGAAAAAAAGAAATAAAATGAAAAAAAAATTAAAAAGATATTTAAAAATAAAACTGATAAGACAAAATAAATACAAAATAGATATTCTAGGAGCCGCCCCCCCCAAAAAAAACCCCATGCAATGAAATAGAATAAATACTAGCCACTATAATTCAAAAAATTTCTGGAAATTTAAAAAAAAGGCTAAATCTATTTTTTTAAAAAGGCTAAATCTTCATATTGAAATGGTGGTATATCACATACCTGGGAAAACAACTCAGAAGATCAACATCAACACACAGTCTCCTAAAACTACTGGATTTTAAGGGGGAAAAAATTTCATTGGCATCTGCACAGATAGTCCAAATTATTTAGAAGAGAAAGAAAAAGACATTGGCATTGACCAACAAGAGACACTGGCATAAACAGTTTACACCAGCAGATAATGAAATTATATATGTAAATACTCAAAGAAATAAAATGCAACCCAAGGATGTTCTATACAGCCAAACTAACTTTCATGGCTAAAGGAAACAAATGGTTATGAAACACAGAACTCAAAGAACACTGTTCCAGGGAAATGCCCCTTGGGAACCATGTAACAAGTTTCAGACGATCAAGAAATTATGATAGAAGATCTGGCATGAGGAATGGCCTGAAAAGGCCTAAAAGCAATGATAACCCTGTAGCAATGAATAACCCCTGCCTTCAGACTGTGCACTTTAAACATCAATTTCTCATTTAAAGAAATCATGTTCCATCAAGGAAATAAAAATCAAAACCACAATGAGATACCACCTTACACCAGTGAGAATGGCAAAAATCAACAAGATACTAAACAACAAGCATTGGTGAGGGTGTGGAGAAAGGGGAACCCTATTACACTGTTGGTGGGAATGCAAGCTGGTACAGCCACTCTAGGAAACAGTATGGAGTTTCCTCAAAACATTAAAAATAGAGCTACCCTACAACCCAGGAATTGCACTATTAGGTGTTTACCCCAAAGATACAGATGTAATGAAATGAAGGGGCACATGCACTCCAGTGTTCATAGCAGCAATGTCCACAATAACCAAACTGTGGAAGGAGCTGAGATGTCCCTGGACAGATGAAAGGATAAAGAAGATGTGGTTCATACATACAATGGAATATTACTCAGCCATCAGGATGAATACCCACCATTTGCATCGACATGGATGGAACTAGAAGGGATTATGCTGAGTGAAATAAGTCAAGCAGAGAAAGACAATTATCATATGGTTTCACCCATATGTGGAACCTAAGGAATAGTGCAGAGGGCCACAGGGTAAGGGAGGAAAAAATGAATGGGAAGAAATCAGAGGAGGAGACAAATGATGAAACTCTGGACTCTGGGAAACAAACTGAGGGTTACAGAAGGGAGAGGGTTGAGGGGATGGGGTAACCAGGTGATGGGTATTAAGGAGGGCATGTGTTGGTGATGAGCACTGGGTGTTATATGCAACTAATGAATTGCTGAACACTACATCAGAAACTAATGATGTATTACATGTTGGCTAACAGAACACGATAAAAAAATAATTTAAAAATTAAAAAATAATAAAAATTTAAAAAAAAGAAATAAAAGAAATCAGGCTCCTTGGAGAAATGGCTTATTCCAGGTCTGGCATAGGAAACTGTATAAAATGAACTTGGGTCATCTTATCAAATCAGAAAGCAGAACATTAAAATTCTACTATAGGCAAGTAAAAGGAAATCAGAAACAGAAGGGATTCTTATTTGCCAAATTTCTCATTTGAGTATATATAAGAATGCTCAAATAATGGTCACTAAGAATGGTGACTGCAATGATTGGAAAATATAAAAAATACTAACACCTTTGAGTTCATAACAACATTCAAAAAAGAAAAAAGAAAATTACTCTTTGGTCAACTTTTGAAGTTGCTAGGGTACAACTCACTATTCTGAACATTGATAAAGAAATAAAGAATCATGGATTTATCATGCCTTTCTGGTAAGAACAGTATCTTGTGGAAACAAAGGAGATGAATTTTTTTCCTCAGAGAATAATCATAGATAATAAATGTTACAAGAACTGATAGAATCAGAAAATCACTATTTCCAGGGGTGCCTGGGTGGCTCAGTCAGTTAAGTGACCAAGTCCTGATTTCCACCCAGGTCATTATCTCCAGGTGTGAGATCCAACCCCAAGTCTGGGTGTGCAGCCTACTTAAGAGCCTCTCTCCCTCTGCCCCTCCCTACCATCCCCCTCCCTAAAAAAAACAAAAAACCTCACCCATGATAGCAGATTATACCTGGGTAGCTTGAAGAGAACACACTGTATTTGCTAAGTGAGTGAAAAATATTCTCTTTGAACAGAGAATTGCTTTTTGAAATATTGCTTTGAATACTGCTAGGCATATATATAAAATGTGGTATATACATACAATGGAATATTATTTAGCCTTAAAAAGGAAGGAAATTCTGACATGCTACAACATGAATGAACCTTGAGAACATTATGCTGAGTGAAATAAGCCAGTTACTAAAGGGCAAATACTCTATGAATCCACCTATATGAAGTATTTAGAGTAGTTAAAAAGAATGGAAACAAAAAGTAGAATGGCAGTTACTAGAGGCAGGAGGGGAGGGGTAAAAGGGGCAGCTGTTGTTCAATGGGAACATAATTTCAGTTCTGCAAGATTGAGAGAATTCTGGATGTCTGTTCTACAATGTGAATATACATAGTTATCTATACACTTAAAAATGATTAAGGTGGTAAATTTTATGTTATGTATTCTTTACCGTAGGAAAGAAGGAAGGGGAAGAAGGGGAAATGAGGAGGGAAAAGGTGGAGAAGCAAATAGGGGTAAGGGGGGAGTGGGGAAATGGGAAGAAAGGGGAAGGGAAAGGGAAAGGATGGTATGGGCCCATGGTGGGGAAACTGGTAACATTCAGCATGATAATATACATTAAACTCTAATTCAAGAATAACACTTCAATGAATCTATCCCAAAGATATCATGACAAAAAATGTGTAATGACTTTTTCACAAGGCTTTCTACTATAACACTACTTAAAATCACAAGACTAGAAAAAACCTAACAGTCCATTTATATTAGGTTAATATAAAATGGTTCATCTAAATAAGGAGTGCTAGCCCAGGAATAAGAGAGATACTGATAAAGTGATTTTTAAGAGAGATATTGATAAAGGATTTTTCAGGATATATTAAGTGAAAAAAAGCAAGATGGAGTAAAATGTTTACAGAATGCTACCTTTTGTATAAAAGGAAGGTAAACATCAAACTCACTAACTTATTTCCTCTTAAAAAAGAAAAAAAAGATAAGCCAAAAAATGATGAAAATGATTCTCTATGGCAGAGGTCAGTGTTTTGTTAGTAAAGAGCCAAACAGTAAATATTCCAGTCTTTTCAAGCCGTATAATCTATGTCATACCTATTCAACTCTGCCGTTACAACACAAAAGAAGCTATAGATGAAATGTAAACAAATGAATACTGCCATGACAAAACATTATTTACAAGAAGAGCTAGGTAGCCAAATCTGGCCTGCATTAAAGTTGTTGTTTACCAATCTTTTCTCAAAAGAAAGAAAACAGGATAAAAGGGGTAAGACTTCTGTGAATCTATTTTTTTTTAAGATTTTATTTATTTATTTGACAGAGATCACAAGTGGGCAAAGTGGGAAGGGGGTGGGGAGCAGGCTCCCTGCTGAGCGGAGAGCCTGACGCAGGGCTTGATCCCCGGATCCTGAGACCATGAGCTAAGCCGAAGGCAGAGGCTTAACCCACTGAGCCACCCAGGCGTCCCTGTGAATCTGTTTTGTAATACAGTTTTTTGTTTTTTTTTTTTTTTGTCAGAGAGAGAGAGGGAGAGAGAGTGAGCAGAGGCAGACAGAATGGCAGGCAGAGGCAGAGGGAGAAGCAGGCTCCCCGCCGAGCAAGGAGCCCGATGTGGGACTCGATCCCAGGATGCTG